AATCAGGTCTCTCAAACACTGGAAATCTGGAACTATCCTTGTATTTTCTTTTCTTTTTTTCACCCTATTCTTGTAAATCTCTCCGGCTTCGTTCACAGAGCCTGCTGAGTTCAGATACCACCTTGATATCAGGTCGGTAGTGGTGAATACATACATTATCTTCAGCTCTGCTTCACATCCTTGATAGAAGATCTTTATTCGGAGATACACAAGAATTAGGAAAGTGATAAAGGGAATTGACGGAAGGGACCCAGGCCTCTCAACCACTGGGACTATCCTGGTATTTTCTTTTCTCATATTGCAATTTTCTTCTGTTTCATTTGCTTACCTTGCCAAATTCTGACATCAGCATGATATCAGGTTGAAGATGTCAATACATACATTATTTTCAGTGCTGTTATACATTGCCAACCAAGTTTCTATTAGTCATATAAACCACACAATTCCTACAATGCATGCTATCTAAAGCCAAAGCAGATTTTGACGGGCAGGCCGAAGCAGCCAACAAGGTTATACTCACTGAACTCAAGAAGAGACTCGGTTCGACAAAAAGAGCATGGGCCGAAGAGCTAACGGAAGTCCTTTGGGCATACCGATGTACACCACAATCAACCACCAAGGAGACCCCTTTTCGCCTAACATACGGCGCGGACGCGATGATCCTGGTTGAGGTGGGGGAACCGTCATTCCGGCGACAACACTTTCATGAGGAGTCTAACGACAGTTCACTCCGAGCCGAACTTGATGTTCTCGATGAAGTACGAGAGAAGACACAGGTAGTGGCCGAAGCATGCAAACAACGCATGACCCGACGCTTTAATTCCAACCTAAAGCCGAGGACATTTCATGAAGGCGATCTCGTATGGAGAGCAACCGGGTCGGCAAGGCGCAACTCATCCGAGGGAAAGCTCGCAGCCAACTAGGATGGCCCGTTCCGGATACGGCATGCCCTCCACAATGGAGCTTACAAGTTAGAAGAATTGTCCGGCAAGGTCATCCCTCGGACATGGAATTCTACTCATTTGAAGACCTATTACAATTAGAATTTAACGAATGTACATCTGAAAATGTCTAATGATGCACTCTTTTCCTCGAACCGGTCTTTTTTCCTCTTAAAAGATTGTGAAAAGAGGTTTTGGCCGGCAAGGTTTTTAACGAGGCATCCACTCAATCAATAACAAGACAGTTCAACTATCTATGACTTGTTTTACATTTCTGCGATTTTATTTCCCTCCCAAGATGTCTCTCGGCCAAGGATGTGGCTTTAATTATTTTACAAGTCTTCCCTCCCGAGATGTCTCTCGGCCAAGGATGTGGCTTTAATTATTTTACAAGTCTTCCCTCCCGAGATGTCTCTCGGCCAAGGATGTGGCTTTAATTATTTTACAAGTCTTCCCTCCCGAGATGTCTCTCGGCCAAGGATGTGGCTTTAATTATTTTACAAGTCTTCCCTCCCGAGATGTCTCTCGGCCAAGGATGTGGCTTTAATTATTTTACAAGTCTTCCCTCCCGAGATGTCTCTCGGCCAAGGATGTGGCTTTAATTATTTTACAAGTCTTCCCTCCCGAGATGTCTCTCGGCCAAGGATGTGGCTTTAATTATTTTACAAGTCTTCCCTCCCGAGATGTCTCTCGGCCAAGGATGTGGCTTTAATTATTTTACAAGTCTTCCCTCCCGAGATGTCTCTCGGCCAAGGATGTGGCTTTAATTATTTTACAAGTCTTCCCTCCCGAGATGTCTCTCGGCCAAGGACGAGGCTCGTAGTGTTTTGA